GCTCTCCTAATGCAAATTGATCCATTACAGATGAGTGTTTAGATCAATGCGTGATGTCCTGATTGGAAATAAAACTGTTTGCTCAAGATTGCTGTAAAGACAACAGGCACTGATAGATGATATTTATGTGACAAGGAACGGCGCTTAAGAAGGATATTGTCAAGACCATGTCCATCGGCTGTGGAGGCAGCGTTCACCCAACGGGCGCATTTTTAAAGGGAGAGCCAAGGATCCCACAGCGCTGGGACGAAGCTGCCATGTCAGAGGGGTCCGTCCAAGGCTGAGACACGTCGTAACCACACACAGCAACAAGCACTTGCAGCCCTTCTGCCATGGAGGTCTTGTCTCGGTAGCCCTTATCGCCCACCGCAGCTCTGGCTCCTTGGGCTTGTCTGAAATGGCCGCCACGGGTCACTGAAATGGCCACCGCTGTGGGTCACTGAAATGGCTGCCGTGGGTCGCTGAAATGGCCGCTGTGGGTCGCTGAGATGGCTGCTGCTGCAGGTCACTGAAATGGCCACTGTGGGTCACTGAAATGGCACCGCGGGTCACTGAGATGGCCACCACTGCGGGTCACTGAAATGGCCGCCGTGGGTCACTGAAATGGCTGCCGTGGGTCACTGAAATGGCTGCCACTGTGGGTCACTGAAATGGCCGCCACATGGACACACCTCGTTACCTCAGCAGAGAGCCCGCCCTCCTTGGCAGCTCTCCCCCACTCCATTGGCTGGGGCACCCGGAGCCCAGCTCCCGATTGGCTGGGTGCGCAGTCCGTCCCAAGGGCAGGGTGGGCTGTGCTGAGGGTGCGGGTGCCCAWGGCGCCATGGTCAGAGCTGCCTCGAGCGGCCCCGCTCCGGGCTTGGGCCCCGCTCMGGGCTTGGGCCCCRCTCAGGGCTTGTGCGGCCCCGGGATGAGCTTGGGAAGTGCAGGGGCGGAGCGGGGAGCTGGCAGAGCTGGCAGCCGCTCTCTATGAACGCCCRGGGCCATGGGTGGCTGCAGGTCACGAGGGGACACGGGGCGGGGAAGGCTAAATTGGAGGACAATGTTGACACAAAACAAATGGTGCTAAATAGCTCGTGGAAACAGGGCCATTAGGGCAGCGAGGTTCCGGAATAGCCTTTAAATACAAATCGAGGCGTGAAAAATGGCCTTGAGGCCGCAGCGGAGGCGTTGGGTTGGGAGGCCAAGGCCAGGGTCCCGTCCCTCGTGCGCGCCTCTTTCCTGGCCTCTTTCCTGCAGTTCCTCCTGCCTCGCGAGGCTTCTCGTGAAGTCGTCCTCTTCATCGTCACTTGTTGGCATCTTCCTTGTGTCTGGATCTCTCCGCTGCCCGAAGGGGCGGGAACGGCTGCTTTACCTTCATACGGCCCCAGTTCATGTCTGAAACSCCCCGGACCGTCCTGCGGCGGCCGCAGCCTTACTCTCACGGTGTTCCCACMTCCCCGCTCCATCCACCTCGTGTGGCAGGAACTGCCCAGTGACCRTGGCCTGACCACGACCATGAGATTGGTCCGACATTCCCGTCGGGAGCTTCACGGCCCCGGCCGGCGGTTYGGAGGAGGGAGAGCGTTCCCGGGCCGGGGCTTTCCCTGCCGGAGCGAGGCCTGACAAGCATGAGGGCGCGGAGTGAAAGCCAGACACATTCCCCTCTGAATATGGTACAAATTTAACAGGGAGGGAAACCGCTATTCAAACAAACTACTGAGGGCAAGAGCAGGCTTTGCAGCTCTTGATGTCTCCAAATGAAGACCAGACCCTTCGGAAAGATAAGTCATGCCAGTCCCGCTCGCCGGGGCGGGATGCAGCTCCCGCGCCAGGGCCGGGGCAGCCGGGAGGCTACGGAGCCGCCRGCAGCTCCATGCGGAACGAGACCCACTTCCACGGTCGCTTCCACGACCTTGTCCGGAGCGTAGCCCCYGTTCGCTTCTCCCTGTCGGCATCGTCACGGCTCCTCTCTCCAYGCCCACGCTGCCAGCATCTCTCCCCTGGCTGACTTGGGTTATTTTGTGTTCTAACGACTATGTTTTTTTAATGGCTATAAATAAGTTAAAGCTGCATCTTTAATTAATCACTGCACTTTACATGGTAAGTGGAGATTCTTTGTAATGACTCGTTTATGATTTTAGGGTGCCATTTGCTCACTGTCAGATGTATCCTGCTTTTATCCCTGCGTGTTTAACGGGTTCGGGATAGAGATACTCATCAATGAGGGATTTTAATCCGTTTAGTCCAGAGCAAATAATTAGTTACTAAGTAAGTGGTAAGACTGGGGAAACAAATACTTCTATCTAAGCAATAATGAACTGCAAGCAATAGACAGTATGTTCATAATCTTTAAAACATTTTAAACTAATCTTAAAATGTTTATTTTTCAGTCACACAGGTTTGAAATTGGAAATACGTGTGTCTGGAAGGCTGGAACACGAACAGCAGCATACAGCAGCAGCAGCAGCAGCACGGAAAGCCTGGAGAAGTGGGAGCATTAACAGAAGTGTTTCTGCTGTGGCAGCTATTAAATGATTATTTTTAAGGTTGGGAAGGGAGCCCCGCATGTTTATAGGGCACGTGGAGGGTTGTCCGTGGGCCCAGGAGGGCTCCGTGTGTCCCGCAGCAACAGGCGGACCAGGGACCCCTGCCCGCGCCGTCACCCTCCCCTCCTACGGTTTTTCCCTCCCTTTTCCCCTCCCCTCCTCCTGTTTTTCTCAAGGGAGGGCACGAATGTTTCATACAGGATGTGAAAGAGCAGCGAAAGGAAGAGCTGTTGCACTGAAACTGTAGAAAAATCCTAGATAATTTTGACAATTGTTCTCCCCCAGCCCGKCGGCGGCGCACGGCTGCTGCGCGGTGTGATCAGCCTGGGAGCACTGGATCCAGGCACTCGCCACGCCGCTCGCTTAAGCGTTCGGAGCCATTTCTTTCMATTTATCCAGATTCTCCCCCAAATCATTTCACACATTTCTCAGATGCATCAATCCTTCCGGCATTCCTCTAGACACTCAGTAGGATGCCCTGCTATAAATATTATAAAGCCTTTTATTATGTCCATTAACCATGGGCATGTGTGCTCCAAAAGTTTCCTGACACGCAGTCATTTGTGGCTTTTTAATTATAAACAGAAAAAAATCCGCCAGCAAAAGAAGCCAGCAGGCTGGAAGGGGATCTTTCTGAGCGCGTTTTGAGCGTGTGCTCGGGCTCAGCAGCCCCTTACCCTCGTCCTGCTCCCGGATACATGTGCCCGTGGGCACGTAAAAATCACGAGACATGAGGCTGGGGTGGCACAAGTGGCACCGTCACCCCCCCAGTGCCACCAGTGGGCTCGAGCAGACTTTCCAGACCCCAGGAGCCCCGTTCTGATCAGCTTTCCGCAAAACCTTTCCAAAACTTTTCCAAACTCTTCCAAATGTGACATCCCCAGGCCATTTCGTAGGGCCTGGCTCCTCTGGAAGAAGAGGAGAGAGGAGAGAGGAGAGAGGAGAGAGGAGAGAGGAGAGGAGAGGAGAGGAGAGGAGAGGAGAGGAGAGGGGAGAGGAGAGGAGAGGAGAGGGGAGAGGAGATCCAGTAAATTACCTGACAAATTAAGTCGTATTTATTGAATGCTTTTTATTTCAACAACCAAAAAATTCTAACAGCCTAACAATGCACATAAGTTAAAAATTAATTATCACTTAGTGATAACAAAGATAAAGTTGATTTACATGGAAAAAAAGAACATTTACAATATGTTAATCCGTATTCACATTGTTGATACCGCGATAAAACACAATTTGTTTTTTTTTATTTTTTATTTCACAAAAAAAGGCGGAAAATTGTGCTTTGTTAAGAGGCACTACAAGAAAAGTTTCTTTCTCCAAATAGATATTATATGATGGATATTGAATAAATAGACATATATGCATTGTAATTCGCAAAGTTCTGGCAAGACCACAGGCTAAAATGCCCACAGATTCACTTAGAACCACTGCAAAATTGGCAGTGAAATTAAAAATAAAAAGGCAAGACTCAGCATTGAAAAAATACCTAATAAAATTTTTGGTTGAAGTGTAAAAGATACCAAATGTCGATGCCATCCTCAGATGAACAATCTTACAAGAGCCTGGCAAAATTCAGTTTCCTTTCAGCTCTGTGGAGTGATTTCAGCAACAGGATAAGAAGACAGTTTGGAAGAGTAGCTCCGAGAGAAACATAAAGCAGCAACCATTGAAATTCTGATTAAAGCTGCAGCATACTACGAAGGAAAGGATGAGGAGCGGGGGGGCCTACGTAAGCAACCCACAATTCTTTTGCAAAGGTCTATGAAATTTATGCAGAGATACTCTTACGTTTCAAACGTTAGTTTTGAAAAAAATCCCTTTAAAAACTCCAGAGGTTACTGAGCAGCTAGAATTAGCTTGTATTGCAACGTCTTCTCCCTGTATATTGTCTGTTCTGAGTACGTATCTACACGTAGAGGTTTGTTTATTTTTTCGTCTTTAACTCCTACCTTTTATACCTTTCAAATATATAAATAGTATTAACAGTTTATATTACATTGCCTGGTGTAGTAAACAGAAAACAACTTCCCAAGTGATATTGCATGAGGTCTTTGTCCCGGTTACGTGAAAAGCTCGTGTGGAAAGACCAAGGCAAAGGAAGGAGAAGCGGATCCGACGGCAGTCCCGGCTCCATCGGCTGCAGGAGCAGCCCAGGGATGCGCAGGGCCCCTGCGCTGAAACCACGGCACGGAGCCGGCCCTCGCCCACCACCACCCATGAGCCCCATGGGGACAGGGGAGCCCCATGGGGACAGGGGAGCCCCTCGGGGACAGGGGAGCCCCTCGGGGACAGGGGAGCCCCTCGGGGACAGCGGTGCGGGCCCCAGCGCCGCCGTTGGGTCCGGCTGTCCGTCAGGTCAGCAACAACCAGCGGCTGCAGGAAGGAAGCCTAAAGAGTGAGAGCTGGAACACGGAGCAGGTCACTGAAATCCACAGTAAAACGGGGCTCATACGGTGTGAATTCCGTACACAACTCCCAACACACTGTCCTCCTCTTCCTGTTAAGACCTCAGGAACGGACAAGTGCCCCATGCACTGGATTTCAGTTTTATTCATCCTGAATCCCAAGAAAATTCATCTGTTCACTACGGAAAGGAGCRTTTAGAGAATGCAACATGCTGTATCATTTTAAGTGTGCATTGTGTTTAAAGTACTTTAACTTACTAGTTTTCTTTTTAAGGTGCCCTGATTTGTTTTTCCATTTGCTTTTTTTTTTTTTCCTCTTTTCTTTTTTTTTTGGCAGTGTTGATTTACGTCTTTAAATACATACCTCAAAAATTACCCTTCAGAGTTGCCAGATAGGAAGCCATATAATAATAATTAAAAAAAAAAAAAAATCAGGGATAAACATAGAAAATAAATAGGAATTCAAAAATAGTCACCACACCCTGAGAGCAGGCGGCAGTTTATCAAAAAGCCAAAGCAACTCATTGTGAAGTGGTTTTAATACATAAACAAGTCTCATCTGTCAAGAACTCATTTCACAGTCTATACTTCCAGGTGTAAAGGTCTGTCCCATGCAATTTTAATATATATATATTTTATGTAAATATATATATATACACACACACACAAAGTTGTGAATTTCCCTTCACTGATACCAGGGGCYGTTCTCTTCCCGTTTACTTGCCGGATGTCCCTTTCCCAAGTGCAAGGTTAAGGAGGGCGCGATCCCACGTGCTGACGAGGTCCCTTCATCCCGCGCAGGCCGGGGGTCCGGCTCGGGGCGGCGCCTGCCTGGGCAACGCTGGCCCCGCGTCCTGCGCGTCAGAAACAAACCGAAAGGAAAAAGAGGAAAAACGGAAAACGACAACAGAGAATCCTTGGATGGATGTATTGCTTGCTGYGCTCCTCGCTCGCATTATCTCTGCTCCATGTCCGCTGGGGCTGCCTTGCTTTTGTCGGCGTTCTCCTCCTCGGCCTCYACTTTGTACATCTCCTCCGAGCCCTCCTCGCTGTCGTTCTCCTCCGACTCCGTCAGCAGCTCCTCATCCTTGTACTCGGCCACATCCACCACTGTTCCCAAGTGCTCTTTTAGCTTCCCGTGGTGCTTCACGTGGTAGCGCTGGTTCTGGAAGAACTTGATGATGGTGTGTTTGGGGAGATCCAGCTGGGCAGACAGGGTGTGGATGGCTTCCTGGTCAGGGTAGAGCCCCACGTCGTGGATAAAGCTTTGAAGGATTCCCAGCGCTTCCAAGGAGATCTTGGTGCGGGACCGTGGCTTTTTGGCACAAGTGTCCTCGGCGGGCGGCGCGGGCGCCTCCTCCCTGGGCGGGGAGTTCTCCTTGGCGGGCTGGGACTGCTGCCTGTGCAGGACCTGCGGGACGGAACAGACACACGCTCACCTATAGGGCACTGCCCCCGGGCAGGTCCCCCCAGGGGCTGCCCGAGGTCTGTGGGGAAAGGGCCCCATGGGGCTCGTCTCCCGCTGCCCTTCTGGGGCAACTACCGCCCGACAAGGGAAAGAAACAGAGGAGACAAGCGGGATGCATTTGGAAACACACCCTCAGTAATAAATACAAAATAGAGCGATGAAAAGAGCTACAAAGCAGGCGAGTCAAGCGCCAGTCGGACGGTGCTGCAGTCTGGTGGTGGGACAGCTGCTCCCGGGGCAGCGCCACCCGCTCGGCTCCTTGCCCCCCTCCCATCACCTCCTCCTGGGTCCCGGGCAGAGCGTGGCGCCGCGGAGCCCCGCACCGCAGGGCTGGCCCTGCTCCTTCCCCAGCAGCGCGGCACCGACACCCCCGCGCTGCCCCTTGGCGCCAGGCAGCGGGAGGAGCCTCAGCACAGCTCCCTTCTCCAAGAGCGGCGTCGCCGCCAACCCAGCGGCTTGGCAGAGCTGCCCTTAGCCCCTCTTCTGCACAGACTCCTTGGTGCTACCTCCGCATCAGCGCCACTAGCTCACTGCGCCCTGGGCACACCGGGCTCGTAACAGACACTCACCGGCAACATCTCCTTCTTGGCAAGCTTAACAAAGCATATGTAGCTCTTAAGCGTCCTAACAGCCTCTTGAAATGACTAAGGAAGGGTCCTGGGCATCCCAGGGAGAACCAAACCCAACCCAACCCAACACAACCCAATCCAACCCAACCCAACCAAACCCAACTCAACCAAACCCAACCCAACCCAACCCAACCCAACACAACCCAATCCAACACAACACAACACAACACAACACAACCCAATCCAACCCAACCCAACCCAACCCAACCAAACCAAACCGCCTTCCAGGGCACTGTTAGACACACGCAGGAGCTACAACCGCTTTCCTTAAATCCATACAGGAGAGATTAGCAGCAAAACCCCCGAAGGCTGCGTTTGCCCAGAGGTTTCTCCAGATGCAGGGAAATAATTATTAGAACTCAAAGCGACCGAGCTAACAAAATCAATATGGATAAATCTGCCCTTCTGGGTGAAGTCTGGCTCTTCACCCACGTAAAGAAACCCATCTTTGCTGCGCACTTGAACGTGGAGAGAATTGGTGACGTTGGGAAACGCTCAAACACTCCAAGGCTCTAAGTGGCAAACAGTGAGAAACGACTCCCTGTCCAGTGACAAACAGCACGGGGAACCACCCGGCCTGGGGAACGCTACACGGCTCCCAACCAAATATGATGGGAAAAAAACCCAACAATACAGCATCAGCAGCAGGAAAAGGTTTAATTTGAAGGAGATGAAGAGATGCCTACAGCATCTATAAAGCAATCAACCAAAGAGAGGGCTGAGAGCGGGAGGGAAAGAATGATTTTCCTTAACCCTTCCTTTTCTGGAGTGACCTCTCCATGCAAGAAAACACACAACTCTGGTATTATTAAGAGTAAAATGTTTGAAATAGGCTGTGTTTTATTTGACTGTTTTCTTAAATAATACAAGAACCTAAAGCCCCTGTTACATAAACACAAACCTCACCATTTCCMCGGCTCCTAGGGGCTGGCTCTGGGTCGCTCATGATGCTGATGACACGGGACAACACACAGGCACAGGCCTAAACACGCACAATTCCCTCCGGGTTCAGACTGGGACCAGTTTCGTWTCTCCTCCTGATAACACAGGGTACTGAATGCAAAGAAGCTTTCCTCCGGGTCCGCCAGCCCCACGGTGGGGACGCACCCTTTGGAGGAAACATAAACCCGCCTCTTGCTGCGCGCCTGCTTTGAGCCCCTTGTTCACCCCGCCATCGGGTCACGTCGCCGCAGCGTGGCCCTGGGCACCGTGTCCTCCCAGGGGAAACCGCCCCTTTGGGGCAGCTCCGCTCCGCCTTTTCCAGCTTTGGGGTCATTTTAATGCTCCTAGAGACCGCCCCGGCCGCTGTCCGGAGCCGAATTCCCCATTCCCACCACCCATTCCCCATTCCCACCACCCATTCCTACCAGCATCACTACACCCCGACTGTTCTGCAAGAGGGCTGGTCTGAGGGATGCTGCTTTACAAGATTTCAATCAACAGCCTTCATCCTCACTGACAAACTCTTTTGTTTTTCAAACCTATTAAGCACCACTGACAGAAAAACCTCCAAACAAGCGAATATGATAGCGACTGACTTGAAAAGATCAAGTGACTGGCCTTAAATCGCACTGCACTGGAATATGATTTGAAGGCCACAATGAGAACCAGCTGGAAGCCATGTGTAAAATATAACAGCAGATGCCTCCGGGGAAGGAAGTGAGATACTGGGCGATTACGTTGAGGAGCGCCCATAACGCAGTGYATCATTACAGGAGTGATCAGGATTACTCGTAATAAGTTAAGGGTTTGTGGTCTTGCTAAACCCGAGGCCCAGGTTCGCGGGGGAAGGGATCACGGGGCGGCGGAGGCGCTTCCCATGCGAGGGCTCGGGCCGGGCCCCGCGAGGGAGCTCGGACACGGACACGGACACGGACACACAGGAGGGGCTGCCGCCTGACGCAGCCACCAGGAGCAGCGACTCCGTGCGGATCCCAACCCCAGCTTCCCAGCGCAGCCCCCGCCGGGCAGCCACGGCCATGAGACCGGCCCGGCGCTTTCCCAGGGCCGCAGGTGTCCCAACTTCCTGCTTTTCCTTTGCATCTACAGGGCTCTCATCACCAGCCACAGCAAAACCACCTTTGTGCCACGGAAAGCAGCAGCTTTGATGCCTCAGCCTGCTGAATAAAAGCCCCCAGAGGRAACACCAGAGATTTCCAAAGCAGCCACTGGGCACATCCAGCTCCCCTTACTTGTTCCATCGCTTATGAGGCATTCGCCGCTGCCTTGACCCAACACAAAACCTGACCCAGGACGTGAGCACGTTGGCTGGGACAGCCGCAGCGCTGCCACAAGCGACACTGCCGCCCCACGGCGCTGCAACAAGCGACGCTGCCGCCCCACAGCGCTGCAACAAGCGACGCTGCCGCCCCACGGCGCTGCAACAAGCGACGCTGCCGCCCCACGGCGCTGCAACAAGCGACACTGCCGCCCCATAGCGCCCCGGGCACGTCCATCAGACAGCCCCGCGCGCCAAGGCCCTTTACAGGCTCCCCAGGAATGTCTGCTCGAGAAGCCCTCGCAGAAGTTACAATTTGCACCTGTGTTCATTTTCTTTTCCTTTTAAAAAAGTGGTTTAGACGACTATTATTTTTTTCCCCTTCCAAARACACACTCGTTTAGATAAACACTGCAACGCTGGTACCAGCCTGAGATGAAGTATTTTCTTTGGGCTCCTTTCTCACYGTGGCAATTTCACACCTTGACACTATAAAGCTGCGTTAAAGACTGTGGTTTCGTTTCCCTGCTTTTCTTGGATTACACTGTATCCTAAGGTCAAAACCCGGGAAAATCCAAACCTGTTATTAAAAAAGAAAAAGTATCTATGAAGTGATGACAAATTGCAGACTACAGGTGTTACATTACATTCTGACTCCAGGCAGGTTTAATATACTTTCGTTTCCTTTTACAATTGCCCTTAGCAGGTGCTGTTATCAGTAAGGGATTTAAAAAAAATATATGGTACTCAATAAAAGAAGACCGTGTCAAAAGAAATCAATACGAGCGCGCAAAATGGTAGGAAGTCAGACATGGATAAATGTGTTCGCTTTCATATAGCTCCGGCCCGAGCTTCTTTTAATTCYGCGCCTCCAACGCCAGCAGCCCGTCTCGTGCATTTTTCATGTGGTTCAGGGATTGCTGCGCCGGAGCCCGCGCCGGCGGGAGCCGTCCCGGCGCCCACGGCCGCGCGGGGCAGCGGCCCGAGGCCACCGAAGGGCGCTGGCGCCAGCCCCGGCTCCCACAACCGGGCGAGGAGGGAGCGTGGAGACAACGGAGAGAGGTCTGCAGGGAAKGCAAAGGCAAACCCCAGGTTATTTCCAGGCTGGCATGCGAGCTGCGCAAAGCCATTCGTTTCCACATTTTTGGAGCACACATCCCCCCGTCTCCCTTTGCTTTACGGCAGTCGCGTGGCCTAAGGCTCAGATCAGAAAACGTGGCAAAATCCTGAGCGCGGAGCCCGTTTGCGAAGCAGCGCCTTCGTGCTGCCCCGCTCCCGCCGGGGCCAACGAGTCAGAACGGGCCAGAAGGAGAAGAAAAGGACAACGACTCCCTCACTGGTAGAGCAAATAAAGCCRAGGAGCAGAAAGGCGGCGTTGGGGCTGAGGGACAGAAGGGCTGCGCGCGGGGCAAGGCGCAGCTCGGCGCGCACCGAGAGCGGGGCCGGCGCCAGGCAGCCCCAAGGGCTACTCCATCAGTGAGAGGACATGAGCAGGGCCCGCAGAGGACACGCTGCCAAGGGGCTCCACGCGCCCGACGGCCCCGGGAGGTGCGCGGTGGCGTCCGCAGCGGCCACGGCTGCGGCAGCAGGTCCGTGCGCGGAGCCGCCTGCTCCCGCGGGCAGGCGCTGTCTGCGCCGTCCCGTGAAGGGTGTTTACACACCAGCCTCACAAAGAGGGAAAATAACCCTGCCATCACTTGACCACAGTCATGATCTTATTCTTCAGTAATGCGTGGTTTATTTCCCTTTCCTGATCTCTCTTAATAGACAGCACGTGCCTACACAATAGCCACTATTTTGTCTGGGTAATGTTAAGAAAATAAATCCCCAGCGCCTGACAATGGCGAGCAGCGCGGCGGCCTTTCCTGGGGTAACTGCTCTTCCCGCAGGAGCGCGGGGCGGCCCCGCGGCCCGCGAGCGCCCCGGGGCCGGCCGCAGTGACGCGCTCGCCCCACGGCGCTCGCCCCACGGCGCGCGGCTGGCTCCGCTCCTGCCGGCCGCCCCGCCAGCCCCAGCGCGGAGCTGCCCGGAGGCCCCAGCGACGGGCACGGAACCCACGGCTTCTCCGCTCTGCGTTTTCGCAGACAAAATACTTC